TTGGTATGCTTTGCGTTCAGTTACATTATTTAGCTACCGCAATACGCTGTATTTCTTCGCTTTGTTCCAATTTGAAAGTTAACATGGATCTATCTGATGCAATAACCAAAGCAACGACAAGTGATACATTCAGAATACAGAGGACCAAATATGCTTCCGTTTACGTTGCAGTTTATGGGTGCTCGTTAAGATTATAATGACTCGGAGGCATTTACCCTTTAGCGTTTTAGTACGGGCGGCATGTATTGGACCTCTTTCGGAAGCTGAGATACTCAAATTGCACACTGGTCGGTTTCAGGAGCAATAATGATAGAGCTTCAGTATGCATAATTTGTGTTATGTATTATTATTCATAAATACACCTGGGTATTTGGATCATCGCGTATGCACATTTCCACTCATATGACCTGTGGTAAGTAGTTCCTTGGGTATAGTTCCACCTTCAGTGGAACCAGTTGATGCTTGAAGTGGGTGTGTGTGTGTGATATTAATGTGTGTGTGTGTGTGTGTGTGTGTGTGTGTGTGTGTGTGTGTGTGTGTGTGTGTTTGTTCTGGTGAATATTGGCTTTTATGTTTGGTTTTTATATGTGTGGAGTCTTTTGGGTTTTTTTCTATGTTTATTGCTGTTGTGTGTTTTATTTTTTATTGTTGTTTATTTGCTTTGTTTTTATTTTTATTTATTTTTGTTTTTGTGTTTTGGGGGTGGGGGTTTTGTTTTGTTTTGTGTGTTTGTTTTGGTGTTTTTGTTTGTTTGTGTTTTGTTTTGTTTTGGGGTGGTGGTTTCTTGGGGTGTTTGTTGTTGTTTTGGTTGGTTGTTGTTGGTTTTGTTGTTGTTTTTTTGGGGGCTGATTTACGCCGCACTCAGCAATATTTCAACTATATGACGCCGGGCTCGAGTCTGGACCAGACAATCCAGCGTACAACAGCATGAACATCGATCTACACTTACATGGGATTAGACTGTCATGTGTCAACCAAATCAGCGAGCCTGACCACCCGATCCCGTTAATCACCTCTTACGACAAGCCTGGGTTGCTGAGAGATCAATTCTGACCTGTATCTTCACGGGTCGTCACAGCGCTAATTCAGATAACTCATCACCATGAGTTTGTATCAAGTACAGGAGATATGACAAAGGGCTTTTGAATAAATGTAAATGGAACATTCTCGGAACAAGCTCTTCCAGGCACACCCATGTTGAAGTATTTCTAATAATTTATCTGTGGTTTTTTGTTGGAATAATTACAATCAACACATTAATCAGGACAATTTCCGTGTCTGAAAAATCCTTCATAAATATCGAAATGTCAGGGTAGTTGTTCCGACCACAATCACACATGGTCCAAAACGCCATTACGTTTTTATTGAATATTATCTAACTAAGGGGTGTAATTTTCACCGAAATCTCCTCTTAAACCTCATCTTACTCACATTTGCTTCAACCATTGATGCCGTAAAGCTCGTCTTCACCAGAACGTTTCATTGAGTATTACAGAACATAAAATCGTTCGGCGTTCAAACGACGTGGTTTATGGCCGATTTGATGTCTTGAGGGAATTTGGGCAAAACCTTAACGACAACAAAATCAAATTTTCTTGTTCGTGTTATTGATATCTTTTTAGTAGGGTTTCTTTCAGTGCTAGAAATCGCTACTTTCAGTATTGTGCAACTTCACGTTCACGTCTCGACTTCCTGGTTATATGGTTAGCGTCAATCATTACAGACGTTGGCGACGTAATAAAGATCGTTCACATTGTTGTTGTTCTGATCCATTTGTCGTATGTGTATCAAGATGGAATGAATCACGTACGTAATAGCAAAATTGTAAAATTGCAAATTTGGATCTAATGAAATGGTTTTAGATGTGTGGTAGAATTAGTAGTGGAGTGTCTGAGTTTATTTTTTTTTCGCCGCTTTTAGCAATATTCAGCAATAATATCACGGCGGGGGGACGGACACGAAATGGGTTTCACACACTGTACCCATGTAGAGAATCGAACGGATCTTCGGTGTGACGATCGCACGCATCTAACCACTAGGCTACTCCACCGCCCCGGTAGTATTAGTACGTAGTAGTAGGAATAGTAGTAGTAGTAGTGGTTGCTGTTGTTGTTGTTGTTGGCTGACTTATCTACTTATTCATTTCTTACTTATATGGCAGGTTTTGCGCTATAACCTGTTATATAAGAAAGAAAGAATACTGGTGAACCAATCAGTCTTTTCGTGCTCAAAGACATTGGCAAGGTACTGTCATTACAAGTTCTTTAGGTGCATAATCCTTAAAACCAGTTTATTTGTGATGAAGAATACGTTCAACAGTGTGTTATCTGTAATGATAAATGTTTGAATTACTTCTGCTCTGAGTCTATTTCCCCGTTCTGCCATTAACGTTACCCAAAGCTACAAGCGTGATTATAGTCCTTAACCTTTCAGACGCTGAGATTGGTTGAATGAAACCAGGCTCTCTATTAAAGAGACCGAGGCTATAATCGGATATGGCTGCCAGCACGATTCTAAGAAGCTGAACGATATCCTGATGAATATGATATTATTTTATTGACATTCCGCAGCGGAAAATGAAATTTCGCTGGGTTCAAGGCTACTTTTCTTGCCCGTGGTGACAAGGCACGTGAGGACAGAGGAGTTATGATGGCTTGGCGCAGCAGTGTTGCGGCAGAGAATGAAGTTCATCAGGTCACAAAATGAAGGACAGATGACTCGACGTTCATCCACCACTATCGACTCACTTTATTACCAATATATGGTCAATAGCGAGGCTTAGAGCTTGAACCTCTCTGGAGATAAACTTAACGTTAACTGTTCATGAACAGTGATATCGGGCTCATCAACCGTTACAGTAATGCAGAGACAGATTGGTAATATGATTGTGTTCATATTCCCGTTGCAAACAGATTATGATATACTACCAATGAATGAAATGAAACATTATAACATATTTAAGAACTACATGCCCATACATTCAACAACACTCATTGCTTTAGAAGTTTGTTAATCTCGGAGTTACTAAATGGTTATCTGCTGATTAACTGGTTATATCGAATTAGGCCATAAAAAATATTCTTGTTTCTCGTCACTTTTTTAAAAATAAATATGGGTCATTCAGGTGGGCGGATTTTTATTTTACATTTATGTCCAAAACCGCTTGATTACTGTGGAAATTTAAACCTTTTCTACGCTAAGAAAATCCAAACTTTAAAGTGTGGAAAAATCCATGTGCACATTTTGAGAGTCAAGTTGCATTTTTTCTTATAGTAATTTTTTAAGTCTTCAGTGGGGTCATGAATTACGAGTAGGGCGAGTAATACGAAACAAAAAATATTTTTATATATGGCCTTACTGGAATTCCATGCAAATTACAAACTTGTGGATATCCAAGGCATTAACCCGTTACAGTAATATGAGACGAATTGGTGGCCTGTTGTGTTCATATTCCGTTACCGAAACAGATTATAATATACTACCAAGACATGAACGAATGGAAATAAGAACATTAAAACATTTTAAGAAACTAAACTACATACCACCCACATTTCTCATGATGACAAAAACAAGACAAGGTATGTCTATTCGAAGGTGATGTAGTTGATTTAGTATGATTGATTCTGGGCAATACGTTTCGTGTGTTTGCCGGTGGCTGTTTTCAGCCTGATATTCAGGTCAAGTCAGTTTCCAAATGAATGCTTTCTTTGCCTTGCTGTTTAAAGTAACATACAGCGTATGTTACAATCTCTGTTATCAGGTATGATTGGTTGGTTTTAGGTATTCCCCACTTGCAATTCGTGTCGCGAGAAACAGATGACGTTATATGACGTGACGTGAATATATCTCATTATTTGAACTAATTGGATATTATTATCATCTTTGTTGTTTGGCACCGATCATGATCTTATTCCATGCGTGTTGCCTGGATGATATATCTACCCAAACATTTGCCTATATTCGTACGCATCAATCTCTTACCAAGACAATACCCCAAGTGTTGCATTTCAAACTCTTACCAATAAAATACCCCAAGTGTTGCATTTCAATCTCCAACCAATAAAATACTCTAAATGCTGCATTTCAATCTCATACCAATAAAATACCCCAAGAATTGCATTTCAATACCCTACCAATAAAATACCCTAAATGTTGCATTTCAATCTCCAACAAATAAAATACTCTAAATGTTGCATTTCAATCTCCTACCAATAAAATACCCCAGATGTTGCATTTCAATCTCCTACCAATAAAATACCGTAAATGTTGCATTTCAATCTCATACCAATAAAATACTCTAAATGTTGTATTTCAATCTCCTACCAATAAAATACCCCAAGCGTTGCATTTCAATCTCCTACCAATAAAACACCCTAAAATGTTGCATTTAATATTTTACCGATGAAATAGCCAAGTGTTGTATTTCAATCTCTTACCAATAAAATACTCCAAGTGTTAAAGCTTGTGATGATGTGGGGTTTTTTTCTTCTAACGAACCTATCTTGTGTTGGCTGAAACATAACAAAAAAAACATATTTAATTTTGTTATTATTTTTGTCATTTTCCAACCGATGCCTTAAAACTTGCAAAAGATAGATCAAGAAAACAATGTTGAAGTTTCATAAGCTTTGCCTGAGGGTCTGACGTTTTTATAAAACGTAGATTGAAAGCTGGGTGAAGGAGGATATTTTCATCAAACGACTGTTTCTGCTTTGTTTCGTCAAAAAATGCTTTGTTTTATGAAACACCGCCACTGAAATGTAAATACCAGCACCCAGGGGCGGAAGTCTCTGATGTTTAGTTCTCGGAAATACTAATCAAAGTAATGTCTTAAAGGTAGGAGATTTTTTGTTCTTTTCAAAATCCTTGCACGCAAATCAAACAACAACACTGCAGAATGACATTTAGATACTTCACTAGCATACTTAATATTGCTTTCAAAGATATTAAAACCCAATAGGATTTCAATTTGGCCAGCAACCAACGCACTTTTCGGCGAAGCCTCTCTTAATTATCTGTATTGCCACTTAGTCAGGCGAGTTGATTAATTTATTTTTTAGTTTTAGTTCTAGAAATGTTAGGCGTTTTGTAAACAAATTGAGTTTAAATGACAAAGTGTGTTTGTGTGTTTTGAGTGGTATTTCAGAGCACTTTGAAGTACTGCTTTGTTTAAAAAGTATAAAGTTTATCCATTGAACTGAAGAGCAAAAAGCAAGGTATTTACTTGAAAATTGATTTTGATTAAAACATTACAAACCTTTTGAAAACTTAACAGTCCTGAACACACAACAAACGTAAAGGAACTATTCTATCCGTATCAAATACATGTACACCACCTTCGAATAGAAGTGAGTGAGTGAGTTAAGTTGTACATGGGTTACTGAAGGTTCATTCTAACCCGGACCTTCATGGGTACCTTCGAATAGAAATGACTTGCCACCATTTAACATAGGTGTATTCTTTGCCTGGTGGGGCAGTGGTAACCTTGTGGTTAATGCGTTCGCTCGTCACGCCGAGGGCCAGGGTTCGATTCCCCACATACGTACACTGTGTGGAGCCCATTTCTGGTGTCCTCTGCCGTGATATTGCTGGAGTATTGCTAAAAGCTGCATACAATACACCTCATTCACTCTGCCTGGTTTATATAGACATCGGAATGACCCAGATAGACGGTCTTGATAATATCCAATCATTATGCAAACAGGAATAATTATGTGCCGGGGATGTCAAATTATATCCTGGGATATCAAATCACCTCTCGTGTTCTTTCAGGATAAAATTCAGACATGCATTCATGTTCATTGAGCGACCATAAAGACTTAAAACAAGTTAGTATCGCCATCTCAAACTCATGCCTATCAGGATTTATCCATATATCATATAAACGTCTTTTGGGGCCGCCCTAATCAGTGCAGTTTGAAACTGCGTGATGAATGGTGTCGCAATGCGTGATAAATGACGTAGCACATCGTGATAAGTGATACGTATTAGAGATTATATCGGTTGTGACGACTGAATAATAATACAATGGATTGCCAGACTCTCGCTAGTTTGTTACCGTCGAAGGACCGGCATTTGTATTCATAGTCTGTCCATTTGGACTCACAACGTCTGAGGATGTGTCCTGTGTGATATTCCTTTACTGCTCAGAGGGAGAAGTGTTTCTTCGCGCATGCGTCACTAATGAACGATGGGATCTTGTTCGTGCCGGATTGTATTCCGGTTGTGGTTGGACACATGACTCATGAACTTCTTTTTCGCTACATTTTTAGTGTCCGAATTCTGGAATAAGTTAGCTTCGGTTTCGATGTTTCACGGAACGGAGTTTGTCTCCATATACGTTGTAGTGATCTGGCAGATCCGATATATGATCACGAAGTGGGTTTTCAGTGCCTGTAGACCAGCATGGCAGCATACAAGTAGACCTGTTGTTTGGCGCATAAATA